CCCTCACCATGGAGGACGAATCCTTGCTCCTGGCAGGACCAGGCTCTCTCCACTTGGCCCTGGACCTCAACTCCTTTTGTTTTCTCAAAGACTCCCATTCCCTTTATCACCATTTTTCCCCTTCTGCATCATTCCAGGAGGTAAATGCCAGACATGTCCACCATTAAAAATGGAGCGCAAGGAGCAATCTTCCTTAACTCATCCGTCAGTGTCTCTTTTGGGTGTGAAGAACTGCCCACATCTGCCTCCTGTACTCTTTACGTTACATCAGTGGCTTGAAATCATCCAACCAGTCAGGAAGCCCAAACCTGCACTCAGCCAGGTGTCATCAAGAGGATATCCAAAATGCCTTTTCCAGGTGGTTCTCCATGTTTATCTTACTTACCCCTCAGCTATAAAGGGCAGTTCCTACCTTCTGGACAGCCTTCTAGTCCTCTGGCTCTGCAACACGACTCCCCAGCTGTTGTCCTCTTTTTAAGTTGTCACTGCCTTTCAAGCTACAGCTGTCCAAATCAGCAACTGCAACTCCACCACTATCAGCAGTGGTTATGCCTTGAGAGTTGCAGCCTGAGGGAATTCTGTTCCCTCAGGGACCAACTCTTTCAAAGTTAAGAAGGGAATTTACCTAAATATGTCCCTCTAAATAATTCAAGATTCAAAGGTTGAGGTGGAATTCTGCTCTTCAGAGAGGCAGAATAGCAAGCTGCTTACCTCCCTCCCTTCTTGCTCTCTCTAGGAGCCTCATGTGTCTCCTTGCCCTTCCTTAAAAACCCTTCTTCCCCTGGCTCCTCCCTACCACTTCCTGTCAGCTAGTTGCTGACTCAGCCTCCTGACCACAGATGAATTTTATTTAACCAAACACATCTTTGCATCATTAAACAAATGTTCCAGAGCATAAACACACTTTAAAATAAGTAACACACCTTAAAATAATATTCTACAACACCCTTCCTTCCTCTTTTTTTTTTTTTTTGACAGGGTGTCTCTGTGTAGCTTTGGAGCCTATCCTGACACTTGCTCTGTAGACCAGGCTGGCCTTGAACTCACAGAGGTCTGCCTGCCTTTGTCTCCTGAGTGCTGGGATTAAAGGTGTGCTCCACCAATGCCCGGCCCTCTTCCATTTTTATTTCTTCTCATTCTTTGGCTAGCTCCTCTCCTGATCTCTAAATGTTGGCATCCCCCAGAACTTGACACCAGGACCTTTGTGCTACTTTTTCTTTTAACATTATAAATTTAGTATCCTTATTAGTATGTCTGTATGATGAGGTGGGGATGTGGATGTGCCATAACATGCTTGTAGAGATCAGAGGACAACTCTCAGGAATCAGTTCTCTCCTAACATCATGGGTTCCAGGGGTTGGACTCAGGTTTTCTGGCTTGTGGCCCACTACATTTCTCCACTGAGCCTTCTCACTGGCCCTCCATTATTTTCACTGTAAGAAATGCTCCTGAAGATTCCATACCCTCCTCCCTGAAGCTCTGGATGAGATCTTGGAAAGGGTTTTCTAAATGTTTGATGAGCTAAAGCTCTGGTTGATGATGGAGAGTTTATCTTGGGTTATCCTTAAATGTAACCACGAGTATCCTTATAAAAGAAAAGCAGTTGTTGGGTCTGTGTTTCAGTGGAAGAGCTCTTGTTTAGAATGAATGAGGCCCTGTGTCCAACCCTCAGCCCTACAATAAAATAAAATTATAAAGCAGAGTGTAGTGGCTCACATCTTTAAACCTAGCACCTGGGAGTCAGAGGCAAGGGAATCTCTGTTAGTTGAAGCCAGCTTAGTCTATATAGTGAGTTCCTATAACAGTCAGAAGTACACAGAGAGACCTGGTCAAAAATAAATAACTAAAATGATAAAATAAATTTAAATATAAGATAATAAAGAAAAACTTGGATTGCTTAATTACACCCCTAGCTTCGGGGATGGACAAAGGGCCAAGGGATGCAAGGCACACAAGCATAGATACTGTAAAGGGACCAGATGTACCCTCTTGAAGGCTCTCCTGAGACATCTGACCTTACCAACACTTTGATATTTATTTCAAACTTGAGAGTTCCAGAGTGGTAGAAGAAACAGGATTACTATGTTTGCTGTCCCTTTGCAGCCTTATCTATAGTTTATTCATTCATTTCCATGGGTCTGAAGTTCATCTGTATGCTACTAAATTCAAAATGTTTTCTCTAACCTTGACTTTGATTGCAGGTCCAAGGTCCTGTTTGGTAGGGTCATTGCAACAGCTCCCTGAGCAATGCTATTCTCTTGCCTTCCTTGCTCTGTCCACAGAGCTGTCTGTTGCTATGCTCTTCCAAATCTGACCAAGTCACTTCCTGGTGAGTATTGTAACATCTCTCATTACACTTTTAATGGCTGCAGACTCTTTACCCTGGTCTGTGAGGCCCAGGCTGGTGGGGACCATGCCCACCTCTCCAGCTTCTTGGGTTCTCTTCTGCTCCAGCTTTTTATCAGTGCTGCCCCCTGAGAGTTCTTGCCTCAGGGCCTTTGACTTGCTCCTCTCTGTGACTTTTATTCTCTTTGCTCTCTCCAGGATCCTATTCCTCCTTCTTAGGTTTTTAGTGTAGACATGCTTTCCCCAGATGGCCGTCTCCAGTGTGGTCCCTACTTCTGTTATGCCCCATTCCCAATGTTCTCCTTTGTAGCGTTAATCACGGGACAGAGTCATTTTGTCTGTTAGCTTCAGTTTTGTCTGCACCTTTGGTGGGCATGGAAGCTCCCTGGAAGTGAGAACTATTGGTCTGTTCTGCTTGTTGCTGCACTTGCAGAGCAGACAGCTATGCAGTGCATAACAGCTGCTCAGTAAATACTTCTCCAAGAAGAACTTGCATATGTACACAGCTTAGGCAGCCTGGTGAGTTTGACTATCTTGAATTCGACTGTTTTCATTGCTAAGGATCTTGTAATCAAATGCCAAGGATGTCAAGCAAGCAAACCAGAATTTTGGGAGACTGACTGTAAGGCCACACCCTGCCTTGGGTCACTCTGCTGCCAGGAAGGGATAGGGGCAAGGCAGACTTGATGTCATTTATTCCCCAAGTGCTTCTTATAATTATCAGAAGGCAATGTCATCACAAAACAAAGGATATGAAAATCTCTCTCTCTCTCTCTCTCTCTCTCTCTCTGATACACACACACACACACACACACACACACACACACACACACCCCTCCATAGTGGTTCATATCCAAGCCACCACCATCACCTACCCAGAGAGAGCTGGGTACCAAAGAGTTGGGAGGGAAGCACCAAGAGAATGACTGACTCATTCCAGCTAGGGGAGGGGCCATGAGAGGGTTCCCAAGGGGCCTTTTCTCCTCTTGAATGAGTTGATCCTGACAGGGAGGACAACTGCATTATGACTTACTGGTTCCTTAAAAACACTCATCCCAGCTCTGCCCGCCCGGAACAGACTCATCTTCCCTAGCCCATTACTGTCTCATAACATGTGCCTTGAGAAGAATAGACAGAGGAGTGGAAACTGGGACACTTAAAAAAACACTCTGGGTGACAGGGCTTCATTTTTTTGCCTGTTTGGATGAAATTAATACAAGTTAGAGCATGTCACTTTTACTTCCCAACACTTCACAAACATTTGGTGAATGGCTTGGAGGGTCTGGAAGATATCTTCCTGTAAGCAGTATGATGGTGGGGGTAAACTGGGGTGCTGGTTATGCAGGTGGGGAGCTATCAGATCTGCCAAAAAGAAGCACAACAATTCAGACTTAGTTGGGGCAGCCCTCAAGAGTGAGGGAATGTTAAAATTGGAGCACCAGGCTTCTATCTGTGGGCAAGCGCCAACAGCAAGGGTTAAGGAAATGTAGAAGACAGCAGTTGGGGGTTGAGGTAGGGACCGTGAGGCTCACCAGCACAGGACTGTGGAGGACTAGTCCGGAGGAGAGGTACATGTGGGCCTTGGATTTACCCCCTTTGACCCTACTGATGTACACAGCCCAGAGAAGGTGTTCATGCCTGGTCCTTCACCTTCTAAGGCAGCAAACGGTTGGATCATTTCTTATCCTCTTCCATGAGGTATTCCAAAGCCAATCACACACCTGCCAGTTGATACTCCTTTGCAGCCCTGGCTACTGCTTTGGACCAGAAGATAGAGAAAAGAACAGAGGCCTGGACCTTCTCTCTCTCTCCTTCCTTCCTCTCCCCCTCCCTCTGCCCCTCTCTCCCTCTGCCCCCCCCCCCCCCAACCCTTTAAAGGTCCAGGGCTCCCTCTGTTAGGAATAAAGAATAATGGGTTGGGACCGCAGGTGGCAGGTCCCCATGATCGGGTCCTGGGGCGGGTGATGGATGGTGGGTAGATGAGGAAACACACACCTGTAGATGTGACTCTTATTGAAATTTTTATTTTCGGGGAGGTAAGAAAATAAGGTAAAGAGACAGGACAGAAGAGGGAGACAGGAAAAGTCCTGTCTGCCCCGGGAACAAGGGAAAGAGAGAGAAGTAGGGGGGCGGGTCTCTCTTTTAAAGGGGTCCTTTGCACCTGAGTACACCGACTACTTAGCCATGGAACCCTGGGCTGACCAAGGCACTGCCTGAGAGCATTCTGCCAGGTGACAGGGGCAGGCCATCATAATGCCTGAATCCTTACACACTCTGCACCGCATGATTGTTTTGACCTTTTAATGGCATAGGCTCTTACAGAATCTGGATGGCACCTTGGAGTATGGCTGTGGTAGAGCGCTTGTCTAGCGGGCAGCAGTGCATTAGACATGAGTTCATTTTCAGCACCACACGCCCACACAATGGTGGGCGAGGCTTAGAAAGGGGCCACCTCGTTCTCAGGGGAAGGGGTTGCCAGCAGAAAGGACTCCAAAAAAAATTTTTTTTTTTTTAATCCTATGTGTTAAGAGTTGGGAGCTCTGAGCACAGGGATGGGAGGGGCGGGACTGTCCCGAGGGTGACCCTTCTTTAGTCCAGGGTCCCGGTGCGGCCGCGCCCATCCCGCCCGCGTAAGCGCGCTTCCGGAAACTGCTCGGTCCTGGGAACCGGGTTTCCCCGGCGTAGGTTCCGGAAGAGCTCGGTTCTCTGAGCCGAGCGTGCAGTGCAGCCCGGGCTTCTGTGGCCTCTGGGGCCAAGTGCTTTGTTCCCGGCTAGTTGTTGCTCCTGCGCGCGCAGAGAAGCCCAAGTACTGGTGTCGCGCGCGCCAGGGACCCGCGAGGGCTGGGCACAGGGTGTGAGCGCTGCAGCCGCAGCTCTAGAGCTCGTGCGCCCTGCGCAGCCTGGGGCATCCCAGGCAGCTGCGGCTCCCGTGCGGTCCCTACGAGGAGGTCGCCCCAGCGACTGCCAAGGCGGTGCGATGGTGGGCCTGCCCGGGAGCCCGGGAAGGGAAAGCGGAAGCCACGCGCCCGGCCGGTGACCCGGAGGACCCGGCGCCTCGCCCCGGCTGCCCGCAGCACCCGCGCCTGCCCTCGGCTGCCAGTCCCGCGGCACCCGGCGCGCCGAGACCATGGCCATCGCCCACCTGGCCACGGAGTACGTGTTCTCGGACTTCTTGCTAAAGGAGCCCACCGAGCCCAAATTCAAGGGGCTGCGGCTGGAGCTAGCGGTGGACAAGATGGTCACATGCATCGCCGTGGGTCTGCCTCTGCTGCTCATCTCGCTGGCCTTCGCTCAGGAGATCTCCATCGGTGAGGCCGGGGGCGCAGGGACATCCTGGGTTAGACTGGCATTGTCTGGGTTTGGCAGGGCCTGCCAAAAGAACACATTACCCACAGCCAGCATTTCCGCATTCCCCTCCTAATGTAGCCCCCCTGGTCATACCGGATTTTGAGTCTGAAGGCTTATTTTGCTCATGTGTAATCTGGACACCTCTGTTGACCCTCCTAGCATCCTCCCTCCAGTTCCTTTGTCTCCTGCGCCCCATGATTGCGGCTTGGAGTTCACATCCAGCCTGTTGCTTCTAGATGTGCCAAGAATGACTCTTCCTACTCCTCTCCCCATTAATTGTTCAATCACCTAAAATTTCACACCCGGGTGGCTCCAGGGAGGATGTAAAGAGAAGCGTTCCATGTACAGTGTGCGTGTTTCACTGTCTTGCTTTTCATTGGTACTTGGGTTCTGTGTTAGGGTTGTGTGCGATAGGGAGTAACTGCCCTTGGAGGTAGAAGAGGTCCTCCACCTAGGCCTTGCTATGAATGAAAGGTGAAGAAATGACCTAATCCCTTTCATACAAACTCTCATTTCATCTTAATAGTTACACGAGATTCCGAAATCTAGTGTTTGAGGCGGAATCATGAGATCATGAGACTTTCATAACCTGAGTGAGTGTGTGAGTTGCAGGTAAGTAGTGTAGAGGAGGACCAACGGCACTTGCAGGTGGGGCAGGACCTTGCAGAATGTCTGTGTCAAGGTGGGTGGAGTGTGAATTAGCCCAGATTAGGTCTTTGCCAGGAATTTCACATGACAGTTACATGCTCTCAGAAGGGAAGCTCAGGGGGGCTGTGCCAGCCTAGAGCAGGGGGCTCGCTGGGGACTCTAGGAGCTAAGGGTGTATGGACCTGAGTCAGGTTACTACAGAGAGGCACACACTCACTCACCTGGGATCCGGGATCAGGAGGCCAATGACAGACTGGTCAACAACAGCACTCAATAAGTAATAGCGAGGACACAAAGGTTCTGGATGGAGGAGACGAGAGGTGGCTCTGAGCACGTGACTGCCCTGCACTGGGGCATCAGTTGAGATCTTGTGCATGGATTGGGGATGAGTGCAGGAAGGGAGAGGGGGGGGGTCCTTCTGAGAGATGGGGGAGGAATAGGAAGTACCTGGGTACCTAGATCTTAACAGATGTGGACAGAAGAGTGGTCTTACATAAGCTGTCTGTACACCTGAGAGAGTACAGGTGCTGGTGGAGTTGAGGCAGGCTTGGTCAGGAAAGGCCGTGGCGAGTGTAGTTCTGTGACATGTATGGCAGAAAGTTGCTAAAGCAATGGTGCAAAGCAAGCTTTCAGTTTTCCTAGTTCTTGGGCAGAGATGAATGCTGAAGGGAAACCACAGAGTTGCTTGGGGCCTGATGATAGACTTTGCCTTCTAGCCGTGGGCAGAACCAAGTGCCAGGCATTAAAACCCCTGGAATAAATATCCCTGTGCTGAAGAAGCAAGTCTTGGACACCTGGTGTGGGCAGAGGCTAACAGGGAGGAGCTGACTCCCGTACTAGGACCCCTGAGGCACCCGTAGCTGGGGTCTGTTATGCAGGTCCAGATGGATGTACTGTGTGAGAGGCATCTGGGGTTATGGAGGTGGGTCCAGCCAGCAAGGCTCTGCTTGGGCTGTGTGTGAGCTCTGCTGTGCACTATCGGGGATAGAAAAGGATTCCAAGGCACAGTCCTCTCTCTCTGCCTGGGGGAGTTTACTATCCGGCTGGATACTAGTCTGCTACCAGGTGACATCCTGCCGTTGCTGATTTCAGGATAAGGCAGAGGGAACTCTTGAGCACTAGGCTGCTTGGTGAACACTCAGGCAGATGCCTTTGTCTTCTGAAGGGCTCAAGAGTTTCAAGGGAAGACAGGTGTGTGGATAACCCAACAGAAGTCTAGGAGATTAGTGTTCACGATCAGTGATTGATTTTGTTTAGTTTAACTATGTGGTATCAAAGGCAAAACACCTCCCCGTCCAAAGGAATGAGAATGAAGATTTTAATAATTGTAATAACCCCAGTATGCTGGCTAGTTTTATGAAAACTTGACACAAGCTAGAGTCATTGGGAAGAGGGAACCTCAATTGAGTAAATGCCCCAACCAGAGTGATGATTGATGTGGGAGGGCCCAGGTCACTGGACAGTGCCACCACTAGGTTCGTGGTCCTGGGATAAATGAGAATTGAGGCTGAGAAAGCCATGGGGAGCAAGCCAGTAAGCAGCACTTCTCCATGGCTTCTGCTCCAGTTCCTGCCTCCAGGTTCCTGCATTGATTTCCTGCCCTGACTTCCCTCTGTGATGGAGGATGAAATAGGAGCATAAACTGAAATAATCCCTTTTATCTCCAAGTTGTTTTTGGACACAGTGTTTATCATAGAAATAGAAACCATAAATAAGACAACCAAAGATGGTGGAACCATTTAAATGCAGCAGACAGTTTGCCCACCACACTGTCAGGGAGGACAGCTCCAGGAGTGTGGGGGCAGTTCTTGGCAGCTCCAAGCATGGCTGAGTGGCCCTCTCCTAGCCCTTACCCTCCCTCCCTCTCTGTCGTCTGGAATCCTTCTGTCACATAGCCTGCCCGTGTGGCTGTCTCACCTGTTAGATACATAGTCTTTTATTGATCTATTCTTGAGGGCTGTAGATATGCCATGATTCAGGTGGCTTTGATAGCCTTTGCAGACACCTGGGGCTGGGGCTGCTCACTGGTCCTAACTGACCCTCTGGTGGGAACAACTACAGACACAGTCCCCCTGGAAGGAGCTGTTCAGAGATGCTCTTTACTTCCAAGTCCTGGCTCACAGTTTGAAGACTGTAGTCAGGGAAGTACGCATTGTTGGACAGAATATAAGGAGTCAGAACTCAGTTGGGCAACTGTTGTGGTTAGTTCTAAAACTTCCACCCTGCAGAAGACAGTTGGAATGGATGGTGACCTGGGATGGAGTAGGGAGAGTTGGTGCTGTGTGCTCTACCAGCCCTCACCCTGCCCGTCTCTCATCTAGCTTTCAATCTTCTGTACGGTGTGCGCTGGATATTCTTAAAGAAGGCTCTGCCCTGTCTCCTGTCTGCTCTGATTTCCAGCGCACTGAGATGTCAGCAAGTAGCTGCCGCTGCTGTGGAGATGACTGCTGCCATGCCTCTCCTACCAGGAGGGGTCTGACTGTTAGCCAAAATAATCCCCTTCCTTCAGTAGCTACAAATAGCTGATGCTGCACGTGTAAGCATGGACTAATACTTAGCTTCCCAATCACAGCATACCTTCAGCTCACACTCAGAATCAAAGAGCCAGGAAGAGTGTGGAGGTTCAGGGAGGCCCTCTTGCACAGGTGTTTGACCTTGTCTGTGTTTCTAGAGGATAAGTAGTAAATTCATAGGCCCTCTTCTCCCTCTGCACCCACATGTATACATCACACTTGTTAAACAGCCCAGCTGTGCCACAGTAACCCATTTTCTGTACTTAGTACATTTTGGAGTACTTTTTATATCATAATACAAGTGTCATGTCACTGGGCTTTTTATTATTGTTGTTTAGGTTGCTTACCTGTATTTAATGTGTCTGTGTATATGTGTGGACATGTGCATGCCACACCACATGTATGAGTGTTGGTAAGAGGACAGCTTGCAAAAGGGGTTTCTGGCCTTCTTTCATGTGGTCCCTGGGGCTCAAACTTGAAATATCAGGCTTGGAAAGTAAGTGCCTTTATCCACTGAACCAATGCACCCCTCGCTAGCTTCTTAGTGGCAGAATGACCCTGTAGCATAGTATAGTCCAGCCGTACGTACATCTGCTGAGCAGTCCCTTGTATAGACACTAAAATTCCTCCCAGTTTCAATGCTGACACATACAGTTTGCTTGTAATAATCTCCACAGTTGTTTCCCTTCTCCCTCACTGAGGGAAGGATGAGAACAATATCAGTTTCCAGAAAGATGAACTCATCTTCCAGAATGACTTTGCATTCCTAAGTTTGTATTTCAGCCAAGTGTAAGAAAACACGCCTTGGGGCCTGTCTAGGCTTGACTCCTGAAAATTCAACTATCAGGTACTCTGATCTCCATATTAATACAGAAGCACCCCCCCCACACACACACACACACACACACACACACACACACACACAGATAAGTGGATGTACAAATCTTTTTTAAAAGAAACTTATTTTATTCTTTCAACTCCACTATTACTAGAATGCTCTCACTCTTTTTTTTTTAATTTGTTTAACTTTATTTGATGTGCATTGGTATATATAAAGGTGTTAGATCCCCTAGAACTGGAGTTACAGACAGTTATAAGCTGCCATGTGGATGCTGGGAATTGAACCCGGGTCCTCTAGAAGAACAGTCAGTGCTTTTAACCATTGTTCAACCTCTCCAGCCCCCTGCTCTCACTCTTGTAGCAGGTGTCCATTTGTTTTTTTTTTTTGTTTGTTTGTTTGTTTTTTCCTAACTATCTTCAGTGATTTTATTTCGCATTTACCACTTGGTCTGTTTGTTCTTTCAATAAATAGCAAGACCGTTACTGCTATGTCCCCACTGACACTTACTGGGAAACCTAGGAGTGCTGGCTGGTTTTATGCACATCAGTGGTCTAGTGTCAGGGTTATTACTATTGCTGTGAAACACTATGACCAAAGCAACCTGGGGAGGGAAGGGTTTATGTGGCTTATACTTACTTCATCACCACTGTTCATCACTGAAGAAAGTCAGGGCAGGAACTCAAATAGAGCAGGATCTTGGAGGCAGGAACTGATGTAGAGGCCATGGAGGCCTGCTGCTTTCTGGCTTGCTCCTCATGGCTTGCTTTCTTATAGGACCCAGGACCACCAGCCCAGGGCTGTCCCCACCTACAAAGGGCTGGGCTTCCACACATCAATCATTAATTTAAAAATGCCCCACAGGCTCACCCACAGCCTGATCTTATGAAGGCATTTTCTCAGTTGAAGCTTCAACCTTTCCAATGACTCTAGCTTCTAAGACTATTGTGACTGTTGAGGC